GCAGTGCCGTGGCGCTCCTCCATGTAATCGTCGTGGCGGGCCCCCATGTCATACACCTCTAGCAGCCGCAGCCGCCGCCGCGCCGCCGCCGCCGAGCCGCCCTCCAGCTCCGAGAGCGCGCCGCCGCCGCGCGCCACCATCATGCGCGCGAGCAGCGCGTTGAGCGCGCGCTCCTCTTCGGCCGACAGCGCGCGCGGGGCGGCGGCCGCGGGGCGCGGCGGGGGCGCAGCGACGATGGAGGGCTTATACTCTGAGCCGCACACCTCGCAGCGCACGTCGTGCTTCTCGTCTGCCCAGCGCTGGATGCAGCGGGGGTGCACCCAGGCCTGCGTGCCGGCGCAGTGGCAGGGGGCGACGAGGGCCGACGCATCGTCCTCCTCCTGTCAGTGCGGGGAGGAGGGGCAGGTGAGGCGGGCGTCGGGGCGGGGCGTGCGGTGGTGTGCAGGTGGGGTGGAGCGTGCAATGAGATCAGCAAACACACACAGAGTCTTGAACAGCATAGTTTAGAGGGATGCAATCAGCAGCAAGGTCTACCGCCGCGCGACAGGGCACCCACCAAGCAGATGCGGCAGACGGGAGCGTCGCCAGAAGGCGCCGGCTTCAGCGGCCCCGATGTGCTGGCCTTCGGAGGCTGCTGCTGCTGCTGGCTGGGGGCTGCAGCGGCTGCTGCGGCCACAGCAGGTTCAGGGGCGCTGTCGCTATTGTCTCTAGTTGTCAGCGCCGCATAACCGCGCTTGCCGAGGCCGAAGAGGTGCGCCGCCACTGCTGCAGCGCCGCTGGTGCTCGGCCCGGTGCGCGCCTCGTCCTGCTGGCTGGGCGGGGCTTCAACGCGGCGCTTCAAAAGCGGCTGCTCCTCAGTGTCCTCTCGTTCATGCGAGCTGCTCGGCCGTGCGTCCCCAGCCATCCTGCCACCCTCTGCGAGAGGGTTTCGAGGCAAGCACTGCGCACACACCCCGATCTGCTGAGATGATGGCTTCACCTACGCGCGGCCACCACTTGCACAGCGATGCTGGGGTGTGACGCGTGAGATGAAGCGAAGTCCAAGGAGAAGGTTGGGCTGCGTTGAGCGCGCATATACCTCAAATAGGATTTATCCAATTGCAGTGGATGCGGTCTATTGCACACCCAGCAGTACGTGTGAAGAGTGGAAGGGCACTAATTTCATCGTGTTGGGGTTCGGAGCTGGGTTGGCTGGCCCTGATCAAAGCCTCGTGATAGGAAATGAAAGTGATGCTGAAGGCACGCTGCGCCAGGGCCGCTGTAAGGCCGCCCACTGCGCTTCGCTTGGGGCGTGCCATGCCAGCACGTCGCCACATCCAAACGCGGGTATCAGCCAACAGCACCAGCACCAGCGCCGATGAGTCCTTGCGGGTGAGCAGTGGTTAGATCTGAGGCCGCCACCCTTATACAAACAGCTTACGCCGGTCGGCAACGGCGTGTGACCGATGCTGGATCAGCGCGCAGCTCGCGTGTGTGCGGGCATGTGGCGTAGCCGGGCCCAGGCCGTCATGTGTGGCTTGGCCGCAGCCCACATGCCTCCCTCTTTCCTCCAGGGGCCCGTTCGTGTTCTCGCCGCCTCCCTCAACCACATACTGGAGCGCTACTGGGGTGAGGCAGGCGGCGGGGTGATTGATCGCTTTTGAATCCGCAGGCAGCTTGCAGACCGCGGGGAGCGCCAGCCGCGTCAGCGGTAGCCTGGGGGGCTGCTGCCACCCTTGGTCGCCTCTGCAACCCATGCTGCCACCTGTGCTCATGTCTCTTCGAAGGTTGATGTTTATGAGTACCATCCCCTCTCTTATATCGTACTTGTCAGCCTCACCCATGCCTGCCAGTTCCAGGCATGCAGCCTCCCTGCCACGCACCCACACACACACACACAAGCGTGGGTGCGCGCACGCACGCATGCTCGCACGCATGCATAACACACAACTATGCACAACACCAACGTCAACCCGCACACGCACATGCCTACCCGCCCGCAGCGGCCAACCCCACGGCGTCGCGCGTCATCGACTCCCTGTACTCGGGCCCCGGCGGCTTCGGTGCGTCGCAGCTGTTCCACGACCACCTGGCCTTCAGGACGTTCGGGGTGCGCGCTACCAGCCAACAGCCCCATCGGGCTTGCATTTGTGCATGGATTCTGCCCCCTGCACCACCACCGCCTGGATATTGGGACTGCGGTTTTTTGGGGGGGGGAGGTTGACGCAGGCGGCAGGCGGGCGCCATACACGGCTGGCGATGGCGCCGAGCCTGTGCCCATTCTGTTGCGCACGCCAGGTCGCCGGCATGGGGATCGGGAGCCTGGGCGACCTCCTCGAATCCTTCGGCTACAGCCGCCGCGACGACAGCAAATTTCCCAAAAAGAAGCTGGTGGCCACCTGGTGCGCCTCACAACGTCTGAGCCAGCAGGCCACGAGCTCGTTGGCAGCGAACGACCGTCCCGTCAGCCGCAGTTCGCGAAGCCGACCCTCTTACAGCCCCCAGAGTGTTTGCCGGCGGCCACACTGTGCGAAGCTTCTGCGCGCCAGCACGCATGTGGCGGAGCTCGGGGCGATGGCGCATGGGGACCAGCGCTGTGCTGCGGCCGAGCCAAGCGTGCACGATGAAATGCGGGCTTGCGCCTGGCCTTTTGACCCCTCCTCCATCGCCCGGCAGGTACGCTCCGCCGCCGCTGGCCCCAGGCGGCCCGCCTGCGTACGACCTCCTGCCCCGCATTTTTGTGAGCCAGCTCGAGGTGGGGGCCAGGGTTGAGATGCGCCCCACGATGGGCGCGGTGCCGGCGCTGCACTCGCGCCTGCTGGGGGCCGCGTTTTGGGGCGGCGGGCAAGCGTGGCTGGCTTGGACCTGTTTCGGCTGCGGACTCCTGAGAGCACGCGTCGCGCGTTTTTGTGTCTCACTTGTTTGTATGCTCACTATCTCGAGGCATCAACCCCAGCGGCCGCGTCCAATCCACACCCCATCACCCTGCAATCACAAACAGGTTGGCCAGCTGTCGCCCGCCGCAGAGGCGATCATCCGCCGCTGCACCTCTGGCATTGGCGCCCTCAGCCCCGCGGCGGTGCTGGGGGCCGCCATGACGGGGGAGCTGCCCTGGGGGCTGCCGGATGAGGCGGACTACTGCGCTCTGCTGGAGGAGAGCGAGTACGCGGCATGGTGGGCGGGGTGCTATCTCAGGCTGCACGCCTCGAGACGGAGCCTGCTGATCGTCTCGTTGTCCAGCGGGAGGGGGGCGGGTGGAGCAAACGCCAGTGACCCGGGCGAGTCATGTACGGCTCCAGCCACCCCATTCGAATCAGCCCAGCAGTTGCGTTGCGCCATCACCACTGCCCCATAAAACCCCCGGAATTTGGTCAGATTTTATGGTCTTGGCTTTGACCGTTTGGGCCGGCGCCCCAACCACCACCAACCCCCAGGGTCCTGGTCAACGGCTACTCCCTCAACCACACCGCCCTGTCAACGCACCGCATCACGCCGCCCCTGGCCGGCGGCCTGGACGCCTTCAACGCCGCCCTGGTGGCGCGCGGCTTCGCCCTCAACGAGGAGGGCGGCGCGGTCAAGGCGTCGCCCGACGGCCTGCTGCTGCAGTCGTCCACTGTGGCGGACGTGGGGGAGGCGGCGTTCAGGGGGGGTGGCAAGGTGAGCGGGCGGCGCGGCGCGGTGCGGTGCGGTGCGTCGAGGGGGCAGAGGGCTGTTCGTTGGAGGGGCAGGCGTGGAGCAGGAAGAGAGGGCGGGGGCAATGCCTTCGTCCTGCGTGCACCGTGCTTGCATGCTGGCACAAGATGCGCACACCTGCAGTCTTTGGCGGTGGACCATCTTTGACCACGCGCGCGCACACCGCACACGCGCACCCTGTGTGTCTCCCGCTGCAGCCCCGCCGCGTGGTGCGCTCTTACCTGGAGTTTGTGGAGCGGAAGCCGCTGCCCCAGTATTCCCAGCTGGCGCCCGGGGAGCTCCAGGAGGCGCACCGCCGCGACGGCTTCGAGGCGGCGAGCGCAGACAACATATTCGCGTCCACGACGCTGGCTGCGCGCGGCGTGTAGGCGTGTCGCGCGTGTTGCGCGGCACGCGTGCGTGGTGCTGTTTGCCCGTGTTTGTTGTGGTCACAGGGTCGAATTCTTGTTGTTTGGCGGAGTTCCCGGACGGCGCTGAGAAGAGGGGCGGACTGCCGCGCGTGCGCCAGGGGGATCTGAGGGGTCGGCGCGGTCCGGGATGGTACATATGCACGTGAGTCATGTTGTTGGCATACAACCCGTTGACATTGTCTCTTGTCGCACTTTACAACCCCAAACGGTCTCTGGGAGCAATTGCTGCGGTCAACATGGCCATATATACGCTGGTGTTGCATGTTGGTGACATCCTTTGGGCATGCTTTCATGCAATCTCACCGATGTATAGTGACCCTGCACCATCAAGTTGAGTGCATTGAACACATGAGTTTTGGCAACGATCGTGGGTAAGGTGTTAGCCCTGTGCTGTGTGCAGGGCAGTGTTTGTGTGCCTGAGCCTTGTCAACACCTAGGAAGGCAAAGTGGACAAGCGTCACCCGTGATGATGTCACCGGGCTGAAGGCAGCAAGCCAGAGTCACTAGGTTGATATGTTTCGCGGGTTGTGGTCGAGATATTTGCCATCGCTTCAAGCCGCTGAGCCGTGCTGTCAGGCCGTGAACTGATCCTTGCACCGTCGACGGATCCACCGAAACATCGTCCGGAACAAACGACAACTGAACAGGATGCACCTCTGCAGCTTTCGCTACACCACTACCGTGAATTGCGGCAGGCTATGCTGCTTGGCCGTGCCGAGCCCCATGCCGCGCCCCGTCGCGCCCCCGGGGCGCTGTGCCACACCGCCGGTCTGCCATGCCGGCCCGGGCCGCGGCGACGAGGTGAGCAACCCCACGCTGCACGCCTTCACAGACATGGATCTGAAAGGATCACGCATCCCTGGGCTACAGCCAGTGCGTCGCACATGGCCAGCACAACTCCTGCTGTGCGTCGGTGACGACCTGCTGACGTCACCGCCATGCATACGCACAAGAAGCGCTACGTCTCGCACAAGACACCCACCCAGGCCAGCAGACCAGTCAAAGCACCAAGCTCCCAAGCCCTCTTTGGCTCCATGATCGCTTGCGTACGGATTGCCAGTGACACCCCCACAAGTTGCTGCCCTTTCCCACCTCCATCACCCCATGCACACAGAGCAGCAACGTGCCATCCGAGCCCCAAGAGATGGAGAAGCAGGGCTTCACCCCTGACATCCCCATTGGCAACCGCGAGGTGGGTGCAAACACCACGGCGCACCGCCGGCGTCCGTCTGGATGATGGGCCCTGCCCACCTGCAGTCGCAGTCCGTCATGCTTTCGTTCTGCAATGCATCTGATTTTGCAAGCCCACCCATCATCATCGATACAGTAGCGTGCAGTCCATGTGCTGACTCGGGTCCTATTAGGGCTTCTCTTACAAGCTGATTAGCCCTGTGGTGGTTTGACCGCTTGCCCTGTCAAGATTGTGATTTATTGTCAATCAACCTTGACTCCCGCCTGACGGCAGCACTGTGCGTTGTGGGCTGCCACAATTCAGAGCACCTGCTGCCCCCTGCCGGCAACCAAACCTTGTCACCCCGCAGGCGCCCGCCTCGCAGCCCGAGGAGGCGGCGGCAATGGAGGGCGGCGGGGCCTGGCGCGAGGGCGAGGGCGAGGGCGAGAGCAAGGGCCGGGATTACGGCCGCTTTGGTGTTGGGGACGACGAGGGCGCCGCGGAGGGCGGGTTCAGGGGCGGGCACGTCTCGCAGACCGGCCGCCGCGAGGGATTTAGGGCTGCATAGGTTGTTGAGGCGGCGCCGGTGGCGCAGAAGGTGGGGGGGTCTCACGGCGGAAGCGATGCATGTGGAGTGGGTGTGCGGATGCTGGCTCTGTGCAATGGGGGCCTCCAGGTCGGCAAAGACAAGTCAGGGGGTGAAGGATGTCCACCTTTGAACGCCACTACTGCTGGTGCATTATCTTATCACCAACAGTTTTCGACCTGACTTTACTGTGTTTCTTGCCTCTGTGTGCATGTGCGTGAGCGCGTGCGTGTGCGTGTCGGAGATGACGCTGGGAACTGGTGAGGCTTGCTCTTGCTCAAGCAAAGCCCTAACACTGCGCTGGGGTCTGTGCACATCGAATGCGCATTTGCCACCCCCATCGCGTGCGCCCTGCCACCGTGGCCGCAGATGTTGCTGCCTCCCAAGCATCTCGGAAATGCGGTGCGAGCATGACGCGGCGGCCGGGCATGCGGGCGGCTCCTCGGCCTGAGCCAGCCGCCGCGGTGCACCTTCCGTCCGCGGGGGTGCTTGCCGGGTCAGCGGGATGCGGAGAAGGATGAGCCAGGGCGCAGCTCATTCTTGTGTTTGCTGCCTACACATGGCCCTGTTGTTCACTTACAGCTTGATGTGACACTGACAGAGTTGCTCATGCTTGCCTTGCTGCTTGGCCGAGTCGACAAAGGCTTGATGCTGTTTTATGGTTGACAGCGCTGCGGTGCACACGTTGCTAAGCTGAAGCTGCCCTTGCTTATCTGGTGATGGTATCAACAATAGCACAGGCCTATAGTGTCAAGGCAGTAGTGTTTGACACGCATCCTATCACGCAAACAGTTTGTATCCACGATTGGCTGCCCATACAATGGTGCAGTCCCCAGGAGTTACAACGTCTAAAAAACCCACCCTACTTCCTAGCAGCACTGCCCGTTTCCACAGCTAAGGAAGCTAGGCCTGAGCCAAAAGGAATCAGTTGCTAGCGCTGCCAATCAACCGAGGCTAACGGATGGGGACCCAAGCGCGACAGACGCAAACAGCGGGTTCACAAACACGTTCCCCTTCCCTGGGGCCTTGGCCGCGCCGCCATCGGGTACCTCCACCGCACACTCCCCTGAAAGTGCACGCAGGGCGGGGCGCGCCTGCTGCTGCTGCTGCTGCTGCTGCTGCTGCTGCTGCTGCTGCTGCTGCTCTTCCCGCGTCGGCTGGGGGTGCAGCGCGGCGCCATCCGCAGCAACACCGAAAATCGCAGCCCCGGGGCTGGCCGCGCCGCCCGCCGCCACCTGCCACCTGCGGCGCCGCCGCGCGCCCGCCGCCAGCCGCGCCTCGTCCGAGTCCCCCGACCCGCGCCGCGCCAGCGGCGTGCTCGCCGCCGCCCCCGCCGCCGCCGCCGCCGTGCCGAGAAGCAGGCTGCCAGGGGAACCCCGCGCCGGGCTGCGAGACGCAAAACTGCCGCTGACGCCGCTGCCGCCGGTGTCCAGGGACGTGTCGCGGGCGCGGGCCAGGGCGTCCTCTGACCGCAGCAGGGAGCCCCGCAAGACGCGCGCCATGTCCTGCGCGTTCTCAAGGCTCTCGGCCGCCACAGGGTTGTGGTAGCTGCGCATGCTGCTGCGGCCAAACACGGCCTTCAGGCTGCGGCGCGCGCCTGCGCTCCCGCCAACCGCGCTGCTTGGGGCCCCGCGCTGCGGCGGCTCGTGCCGGCTGCTCGAGTCGTAGCCGCCCTCAAAGCTGCCGGCGCTCAAAGCGCTGCTACCGCCCGTCCCGGGGCCAGGCCCGCGCCCGCCGCTGGCGCCGTCGCCGCCCGCCCGCGCGCCGCTGGTACCGCTCGCGCCCGGCCCGCGGCCGTTGCTCGCACGCGGGCCGGCCAGCCCCATGCCGGCAAAGCTGACGCTGACATCAGCGCCGCCGCCATCACCCCAGCACGCCGAGTCGCCCGAGCCAGAGCTCAGCAGGTCCGACAGAGCCGAGGCGCGCAGCGGCTCGGGCGCACCCAAAGGGCGCAGCCCCTGCTGCTCCTGCGGCTCCCGCTGCTGCTGCTCGTGCCACTGCCGCCGGCCCGCCGAGCCCGGCAGGTCGGCGGTTTGGCCTTCTGCGCTTTCCCGCCAGGATGCCTCAGCGGCGCCCGCCGCGCGCGCCGCCTGCCAGCTGCTGTCTGCGTCGTCACCGGGCGTGCACGACGGCCGGCTGCGGCGCGCAGGGCGGATCGACTGCGACGGCGACGCCAGCGCGGCGGCCGTGACGCTGCCCTGCAGCACGGCGCTGCAAGAGCCCGGGGATGCGCGCGCCCCCGCGGCGGCCGCCGACACGGCGCCGCGCGCGACGGACGGCGGGGACTCGAGCGCCGGGGGCCCGGGGGATGGCGCGAGGCCGCGCGCTGGCGGCCGCTGCTTGGTGGGGGTGGCCGCCGCGCTGTGCGGCGCAGAGGCGCCGGGCACTGGGAAGCAGTCGCTGCCCGCGCCACCGCAGAACCCATCCTCTGCGGCGGCCTTGCAGCCGTTTGCGGGCGGGCTGGCGACCTGGATGCATGGCGGCAGCGGCGACGGGCCCCTCTTGGGGGTGGGCGGCGCAGGCTGCCACCGCCGCCGCTGCTGCTGCTCCCCCACCTGCTGCTGGCCGCTGCCGTCCCGCCGCAGCTCCTGCTGCTGCTGTTGCCGCGGCTGCTCCGGGTCGCAGCTGTCCCCAGCCGCCTCCTCATCCTCATCCTCGTAGTCGTCATCATCGCTTTGCTCAGTCTCGTAATCCCAATCATCCTCGGAGCCCTCGAACCCCTCCTGCTCCCCGGCGTGCTGCTGCTGCTGCTGCTGCTCTTGCTGCCGGTTCCCCCCACGCGCCCCATCCGCGCGCTCCCTCCCTGCCTCCTCTTGGTGCTTGACCGGGGCAATCGCCCTCTGTGCCGGCGACTCCGCCGCCACCAAAAGGTTTATGATCCCCGAGCCTCCAGGGCCCAGGTCCCCTTGCGCCAGCCCCCCAGCCCCCGCCGCGC